CTTGATTTTTTCAAGTTAGGTGCAACGATAATTTTTTTCTCTAATTACTTTTTACTCCAAGTTTTTGATGATATGTTTATTCACATTACTTTTCTTTATGTATTCTACAAATTATTCTTATTATTATATCATAATTTTTCAAATAGCATTTATATTAGATTAGAATTGTTATTATGTTGTGATAAACTTATTTAAAGTTTAATATATTATTATATTATTAAAATATATTATTTTATTAATCTTGGTTCAACTCCAGTTTAATTTTCGGTTAAACCCCGGTAGAACCTTTGAACTTTAAATTCATACGTTCACCGATTTGATGACCGATTCGATTTTAAGAACTATGCTTCCTATCATAACTATATCCTACACTAAATTTGTTGTCTAAATATAATGTTTGTACCTGAAATATAAAAATCAAGTCATATAAAAAAAAGGGGTAAGTTAATTATTGAAGTAATAATTACCCATCAAACTTATATCACATATAATATTATACAATTATATCTCATTACATCATGCACATCATATTATATCTAACTCATAGCATCTTTTGGATGACAGTATGCTCCAAACTGAGATACTAATTTTTGTAGGTCATATTGAAATCAATACTGCATAAAATACTCTCTGACTATTAACACCATTTTAACTTCCTTATTTATAGACTAGGACTATTGGCAACACTACACATCCTAATGCACCTTTCTCGTGATTTCAGAACAAGTCATTAGTAATCCCGTCATTGGTTCCTCACCTATCAATGCCTTAATTTACTTGGCTGAGATTATCGGTGAAACCTAGAATCTTATTGAATCTACATAAGCATAGTAGTAACTACACTAGCAACACACAATACTTCCTTAGGTACCGACATCTACTACACATATCTCAATTGATTATGAATCACATCCTTGACTTAACTTAGTCTCACATATATAGATTTATCTCAGCTTTATTATGATTTACTCTCTTAACTCAACCGAGCTTGAACATATATATCTTAGTATCAAGAATACATGACATTACTATATCATCTTATAATTTCACACAAGTCATATTTTCACAATTATAATAATGAAAAAGATTGATTGACAATCCAATTGTAACAAATATCCATTCAACAACTTAATTTATTAATAAAGTAATCATTTTTAATTATTTTTATTTTAAATCAATCATTTTATGAATATAATATTAATAAAGAAGGTTGCATAATAGATGTTTTTTTTCATAAGTGTCAATATATCAACACTCTTATAATAAATTAAGTTAAATATTATAATTATATTTTTTTATTTGATCCCTATTTACTCTTTTTACCATAATTTTCTGTTTATAGATATCATTTTTGACTAATTATTGTTCCATATGATTCCTTGTTTCTAGGGTTCACTTTGAATATATGGAATATGAAATTTGGAATTTAGATTTATTTTTTTATGATTTTTAGAAATTTAAATAAAAAACACAAAAAAATAGTTGCTAGAGCGCCACATAAATTCTTTATCCTCTTGTTTAAACAAAATTTAAATCAACTTGATTCTCATTTGATAAAAATTAACTTGACTCTCATTTGAGTGAACCACCATCACTTTAGGTCACTCGCTTCCACCACCTTACCCTTGCTCAAGTGAAACAAACCTCGCTTGAGCAAATATGGAGTGAGAAGTTACATTTTTTCCACGTTTTGGTCTTTTCTCATCCTAATACTAATAACTAACAATACAACTTATTCATACCTCAAAAATACAATAGAAATATCATACAACACCAAAATTAAATAAACATGTCTTTCTACTTTCATTACAACACACCATAACATATGTGTTTCCTACTTAGACATGTTTAGTAGCAGATCTTGATCATTGATTATGAGGAGACAAATAATATATTATTAATAAATAATATAAAAGAGTAAAAGAAGATGAAAAGATGAGAGGACAAAATTGTAAATATATAAACAAATATATTAAATGATCATTAAATTTAGAGAGATCAAAATCATAAATTATACGGAAGTTACAAAATTTTAAAGGTCACAACCCCCTGAGTTTCTATGTCAATGGGCATGTTATTATTTAAATCTTAAATTTCCCAAGTATATATGTAATTCATAGTTAATACTCCATTTTCAAAGCAACACCCTCGCATAACTAGGATAACTGGGATTTGGATTCCTCTCTTAAACTTAAAAATAAGCAAATTCACCAATAGAGAAAATAACTTAGTCATTTAAAGTTCTATTAAGGTAAAATTCCTCTTAATTACTTCAGTTGTCTTTTGTCACTTCCGGATTTAAAATCTAATAGTGTTTTAGTACTGTAAGTTTATAAATCACTTAGAAAGTTCTATTTTAAAGATAGGAATGTTTATATAAAACAATTTTTATATTAAAAAATATTATATGGTTATACTTGTTACTGAGATTGTATCTATTTATTATTCATGAGAGATTTTACTGGTGGATATCTATAAACACGTATATTTTTGTAATTGGATGAGAGTTTAATTTTAAATATTAATGAAAGAAAGTTTAAGTTCATAAAATCACTATTTTAAATCTTTAAAAAATATAAATGATTAAATTGAATATTTGAAAAAGTAAATGACTAAATTAAATAAAAGATAAAAAATAGATAATTATTTATATAATTTAACTATACATATTTAGCTTTCCTTCTTTATTATAGTTTTTTACAAAATAATAGCAATGTACTTTAAATATAATCAATGGTTTCTATATTTTTATTTAGATATTTTTTTTAATATTTTACATCAATTATATGAGAATTAATATGAATATAAATATAATGACATTTTTGTAATAAGTACATACTTTCTGTCTCGGCTTTTTTATACTATCACTTTATGGGTTATTCATGGATTGATTTGTGATTATTTGTATTTTTATTTTTATGCTTAATAACCTAATTTAAATGAAATATTTTCCTGAATCAATCTATATGCTTTCACTGAGTTGTGATGAGTTATGTTGTAAATTTTTTAAGTCATAAAAAATATTAAGCTGAAAATAAATTTGACTCATGTTCACACTCTTATATTTTATATTAATATTTATAATCGTTCAATAAAAAACAAAGTTAATCCAATTTTTTTAAAATTAAATAATAAAAAATAGAAAGTTCCGTATTGATGTTTACAAATGCAAAAAAATAATTATTTTTATACAATTTCTGATTTATTTAAAATATATTTTAATTTAAAATATTATAAAATAAATAAATAATTCAATTAAAAAAAAAAAGAATTTTATATTTGATTTTGAAAAGGCATTCAATTATCCGAAATTTTTCTGTGATACGTATATTTGGTATTTGTTTGAATTAAATGATGGAAAGTGATGAAGTAAGAAAAGAAAGAAGGGAGTGAAAAATAATATTATTTGGATTAGGTGAAAAGGAATTGAAAGGATAATTATTTGATTAAATAAATAAGTTAAAAAGTAAAATAAATTTATTAATCGTTAATGATTTTATTGTTACAATAATAATAATAATAGATTTGTAATCAATTACGTATCTTTCATCGCATTTTTTCTTAACATCGTCGAAAAAAAAAAGAAATAACGCGTTTTCACTTTTTAAAATTCGCACTTTTATGTTTGTTAATAATGTTTTTCATTTTATTTTTATATAAACTAAATAATAACTGTATCTATTACCCATATAAAATCAAATCCATTAAGTTAATTTGAATTAAATGTTTGAGATGTAATATTGTGCTGGATGGAGTTGTAATAGGTTAAGTAAATGAACAAAGTTTGAATTGTTCTAAGAGTTCTGTGAATTTGGCCAAGGACAAATTATTGTGAAAATTCCACCAAAATGTGATGTTTGTTTATCTAATTTATAAGATTCTTACGTTCATTGGATTTAAATGCAGAAAACTTAAGGTATTTTGAAAATAATAATACTCTGTTCTGGTATAGTAATGAAGGTTTGAATTGTAATAATATATATTTTTAAGGAGAATAGATATTTTTAATGCAAAGGCAATAAAAATAGAATGGAAAAGATGGGATAGGAATATGAGAGATAGAAGAGAAGAAGACAAGATAAAATTGGAGTGTAACTGTAATTATAATGAAAAGATGAAGACAGAAAAGTGCACCGTCACCGTAAACAAACGGTGGTCCAAGAGGGTGGTTGTATCCAGTGGAGGCTTTAACCTACGAACTTCTCCTTATAATCACGCCCTTACCTTCGCTTCTTCTTTCTCTCTCCACTCCCATTTCACACCCCATCCACACTCTTCTTCTATCCATAATCTAGCCCACACCAACACTAAATTTGGATAATTGTAAGGGTTTTCATTTGGGGTAATCAAAATAGGGGGAAATACTCTGGAGGAGAGTGTGTAGAAAACATGGTTGTCGATGATATGACGAAGTGCATCATCGTCGGCTCTGGAGGTTCCTCTTCTCGATTTTCCGATGCATATCCCAAAAGGTAATAATCCTTGAAGATATCTCTCTTTCTCTTCCGAAAGCTAATTTCTTTTTCTCATGGATTTGATGGTTTTCATTCAGTGCTTTCCCCCTGATTTTGGAGGGGTATTGGAGTTACCTGGAATAGGGTTAGATATAATTCCCCTCTAGCGTTTTCCAAATCTCTTCCTCTCTTCTAGAGATCGAAGAAATATCACTCTGTCACTGTCTCTGTTATATATAGATAGCTAGATAGATAGTTAATTGGTAGTTCTGTTCTTTGTTCTTGTTCATGTTCAGATCTAATTTTTTTATTGATTTATGAAGAAAAATAGAAGAATTGTTATTATTTTCAATAGGTTGGATTTGTTGATTTTTTTTTTGTCTCTTGTTTTTTCAACTCAATTGATAAATCTAGGGGTTTGATGGAGGGGAGATATAGTGGGGATTGATATGATGAAGGTGTTTATAAGGTTGTTTTGTTGAATTGTTTTTGGGATGGCAATATTGTACGAACCAGCAATAAAACTCATCAACGAGATGAGCTAGCATGGGTCTTGCTTCTTTGTCAATGGAGAATCACCATCCATCCACGCTCTTGTCAATGGACTCAAGTGCATCTTCTCATGAGGAACTCGAATTGGAGATGAATCGCCAAATCATACTCTCTCGTCCCCCCGATATCAACCTGCCTCTCTCCGCCGAGCGCAGCCCCCCGCAGCCGTGGAATTCTGAGCCTTGTGATATTCTTGATGTTGGTCTTGGCACTCAAGGGTATGAGACTGAGAGTTTTATCAATCTGCCCAAAGTTGGAAGGAAGTGCGCGAAGCGCGTTGATAGCATATGGGGTGCTTGGTTTTTCTTTAGTTTTTACTTTAAGCCTTCTTTGAATGATAAGTCTAAGGCCAAGATTGTCAGGGACAGCAACGGTGTTTCAGGGTTCGATAAATCTGATCTGAAGCTTGATGTTTTCATGGTTCAACATGACATGGAAAACATGTACATGTGGGTTTTCAAGGAGAGGCCTGAGAATGCTTTGGGTAAGATGCAGCTGAGGAGTTACATGAATGGGCATTCCCGTCAAGGGGAGCGCCCGTTTCCCTTCAGTGTTGACAAGGGTTTTGCTCGGTCCCACCGGATGCAGCGAAAGCATTACAGAGGATTGTCAAACCCTCAGTGTGTGCATGGCATTGAGGTTGTTTCCGCACCAAATCTGATGACCCTGGACGAGGACGATAGAAAACGGTGGATAGAACTCACTGGTCGAGATTTGAATTTCACAATCCCTCCGGAAGCAAGTGATTTCAGTTCATGGAGAAATCTTCCCAACACAGATTTTGAACTGGAGAGACCAGCTCCCCCAATCAAGAATGGTCCTAATTCACACCCGAAGAAGCTGCTTAATGGATCTGGACTGAATTTGTCAACTCATCTATCCAATCACAGTAATGGTGATGGGTTGGACCTCTCTCCTGTCAGCAGCAAAAAGAGGAAGGACTTTTTTCCTCATGGAAATGAAGAAGAATGTTACCTGGCTGTTAATCCTCCGTCTGATCGTATTCCGGATATAGAAATGCACCCAAGTGAGCCACACTGGTTGAATGACTTTAGCGGGGTGATAAAGAGTGTTTATGGACCTGTTACTGCTGCAAAAACTATTTATGAGGATGAACAAGGTTACTTAATTATCATCAGTCTGTCTTTTGTGGATCTTGCAAGTGTGAAAGTTTCTTGGAGGAACACTCTGACTCACGGTATCATAAAGGTTTCCTGTATGAGCACATCTCGAAAACCTTTCATCAAAAGACACGACAGGACATTCAAACTTACAGATCCGTCGTCAGAGCACTGCCCTCCTGGAGAATTTGTCCGAGAAATCCCTCTCTCAACCCGAATTCCTGAAGATGCCAACATAGAAGCATACTATGATGGGCCGGGATCAGTGCTTGAGATCTTGGTGCCAAAACATCGCGTTGGACCCGAAGAGCATGAAGTCCGTGTTTGCCTCCGCCCTCATCTGGGAGGGAATGATCTTAAGTTAACATGAGATAGGCACTAAAAATTGTTAGGGATTTCAGTATGGTGCGCATGTCATTGTTTCTAACTATGTACCATACCTTGTTATTTGCAATAGAATTGTGTCTTATATATTTGTCTCTAGCAATTTTAGCTCACTGACTGTTCTGGTTCTTTTTGTTCCGGAGCATATGTATGCTTTTGATTAGCAGTATTGAACAGGTAGTTCTCATAATTTATAAGAAATTACCAACTCAATACCTTTGGAATTAATTGTTATTCGATTTCGACCTGTACTTGGATTCTGATTTATTATGCTGTTGTTCTAATTATCTCTAATTTTTAATAGAGTTGTATTCAACAGTTGATGATAGTTTTGCCTCCCGAGGTGGATTTGTTCTTGTGAATACATCCTGTAGTTGCAATATAAGACTCCTGAGATACTTAAACTTTCGCTATTCATCAACATCACTTTGTGTGAACTATACTTATGTTATACAAGACTGAGAGGGTTTCACACGGAAAGTCTGACACCATGTCCATAATATCCACACAAATTTTAATTGGATGTACCCTACCTTTTAGACTGTGTTGGAATATTGGTAAAAAGACCAATGTCAACAGCTGTTACCTGTGGAATAATATTTTTGTTTTGTGAAATTTCCAAAATGATATGCTGACTATATAACACAAGATATTTGACCTCTGTCATTACGTGATTTCCCATTAAGATTGGGGGTGTGACGTTGTGCCTGCCCAGAGAAAAGGACGGAAAGGAGAAGGAGTTGGGATATTTTGGGTAAGAGAAGCAGTAGGAAGGATCTGTTGACTAAAAGATTGGTATCTTCGTGTGGTGAGTGTTTAGACTGCAAGGCTTTGATGGATGAGATTGAATGGAGTGGGGAAGTGTTTCCTTCATGTTTGTTGGCCAAGGACGTGATCTAACTGAAAATTACCATTTTCTCCCTCTCCTCTTTGTCAGTGCATGTCCTTTTCTTTGAACTTTTCTTTTATTTCTCCCATTATTTGGTCATTAAATACTTTTCTCATTTACCATCCTCTGACTAACAGATGGATAACCAGTGGTCCAGTTAACCTTTATTTTTGGAAAGGTTGCCACTCGTGGTAAATTTCATATTCGAAAATCCTTTTATTATCATTACTTTATATAGTTCATTGCTTTGCCACCAATATCTAATTACTCCCCTTCTTCTATCATTGTAGAAAGGACGTACAATAACTGTTACGTGTGAATCTGAATTCTAGTCAATGTTTTCCTCATTCAGATTTTTGTTAAAGTTTTAGTATAAGAGCGATTTTTTTTTAAGCACATATTTCATATACATCATTGAAATGCATATAAAGAATATCAATTGTATGATTAATCATATATACTTTCTATATAAAAAATATCATATACACCCTTGAAATGCATAAAAAATTGTTAAATTATTAATTATCATTAAAATTTTACAAAAGAAAAGCAACTAATTAATATAATAAACAGTAAAATATTGTGGTTAGAATAGCAAAAATCATATTATATAATGAGAATTACTTTTAGTTGAGAATGCTAAATCTTTATTATACAACTGCGTGTACGTAAAGCATGAGCAAATAAATTTTTAAAAAATATAACTAATTTATGTTGGTAATTCAGATTAGTTTGAAGTGATGCAACTTTGAATCATTTTCTAAATTTCAATTAAAATGGAACTAGTCAAACCATTTTTCTTAATTCAATTTGAGCATCATTTTAAAAGTGAATAGCTCTTTCCAGCTAATAATACTAAACATCTATTTGGGATATATTTATTGTGCGGAGAAAAACAAATTTCTGGTTGATGAAATATAACTTTATATATATATATATATATATATATATATATATATATATATATATATATATATATATATATATATATATAAAATTTCTGGTTCTACTTAAAAGGTATTATGTTTTATTGGAGTATTTAAGTAAAAAGCAAACTAATATTTTATTCTGTGCAGTGTAAATTATATAAAATTATAATAAATATTTTTTTAAATATTTAATTATATAAAATAAAAATAAACTCATAAACTGTTTAAATATGTAAAATATATTTTATATTTATTTTTAATGATTTAATAATAATTTTTCTAATTATTAAAATTATATATATATATATATATATATATATAAATTAAAAGAAGGATTGTTTAAGATAATAATAAAAATATTACAATCATAGTTTATAATACAATAATAAGAGTAATTTAATTTAATAAAAAATAAATTTTAAAAAAATTATAAATAAAAAATCTTTATTTTATAGAAACTATCATCCCTTTAAAATTATAAAATATTTATATTTATATTTTTCAAAATCTATGTTCATAGGTACAGAGAGTAGAACTTAGATAATCAAATTCTTAAATAAAGTAAGTTTTTTTTTTAGTTTTTTTTCTCCTTACCTGCATGAAGTAGGATAGATGAATATTGTACCTCTGAATTAATTATATTAATTATATTTAATTATCATATTAATGCATATTATAGAAATAACGAGACAAGAATACATTTAATTACTCAATTATAAATAATATTGTGATAATTGATATTAAAGATATAAATTATTACTTAAATAATATTTGTAAGATTAATCTAAATTAGATGATTTTATTTTTTATAAACATATTCATACTATTTTTTTAGATTTATAATATTTATATTCTTAAAATGACTTAAGCATCAAAATATTTATATATATGGACCTTTCCTTTTTCAATATAAAATAAGGTTCAACATAATAAATTTTTGAGGAGTAATTATCAAGATGAACTTGTTTGGACTCACCCTTTACTGTTATTTTTAATTGTATTTCTTACTGAGAACACATGACTTTTGTTGAACAAAATGATCTCAAATCATCTAGATTTCTGTTGCTATGTTTTATTTGATGATTGAGGTTTTTTATGAGCAGATAAATAATATCTTATGTGGAGTTTTTGGTACAATGACTAGATCACTAAGATTGTTTTGCACAAATTATGGATCCTGAGTTGAGTTAATTATTTAAATTGGAATTTTAACTCTTTTGATTGAATTGAAAGTGTGCAAATCTTGTGTTATACAAAGTTGCCAATGATTTGATATTTGATTGCATTTATGTTAGAAAAAGTATATTATGTTTTTGATGAATAATTTGATATTGCTTGGAAATGAATCTGATAACTTTATTTCATTCAACAAAATTTGTTATTTGCATAATTTTTATTTGAGCAACAAAACTTTCAAATTAGAGAAGGTGGTTTTGAGGACATTATTTTAACTCAAGCTTAATGTTCTCATCAGATAAATTATTTTTGTTCAAGTATCACTTTTTTTTCTCAAGTGACATTTTTTTTTATGTTCAAGCAAAGTTTCTTTTGCTCAAGTGAAAACTGACTTGAAAGTTTATTTCAAAATTCACTACTTAAAAGAATTAGTTCATTCTTAATAATTATTTATTAAATCCATGAAAACAAATATATTAAATCGAAATTACTTTATTATCTTTTATTTAAATTAGATATTAAGATATTTTTACTATTTAAAAAAATCACATTATTATTTTAATTTAAGAAGTTATAATTAAAATATTATTAATATTTAATATTTTATCATATTTATATCATTATTATTATCTTCTTATTTACCTATTTATTTATTTTAATTATTTTTTTATTTTTAAAAATATAACTTGGAAACAACCAATTATAATTACTAAACCCTTTCTATAAAAAAAGAAAATAAATAAATTAATATTCTATCCAACACACCTTTAGTATATTAAAGCTAATCTAAAAAATAAAAACATTAAAGTTTCATACCAATGTATTAAAGCCAACCCCTAAAAGATAAATATTTTTAAATATATATATATATATATATATATATATATATATATAATGTAACATTTTCGTATGAAAAGATAAATATTTATTTATTTATTTATAATAATTCAACAATAATATATATATAATTAATAATAATAATTATTATTATTATTGACTTTTTTATGATTAATAATAATAATGATAACAATTTTTATTTGTTTATTTATTTAATAAATATATATGTATTTTTATAAAATAATAATTATTGTTTATTAAATTTTTATTTATTTTTAATAATAATTTTTTTAAATGAGTCCTTGATTATATATTTTCTTCTTCAAAATATTATAATTTAATATAATATATTTGAAAAAAAATACTTAATAAATTTTTGAGATGATACATTTCTCTGTTACTTACAAAAATTTTATCCTTGAAATTTTTATTGAATAAAACAGATAATGATACTTTTTTTTTCAATTCTCGTGTAACATTATCAGTTATTTCATTCTAAACGACCTTCTCTAATGAAATTTATTCTCTTCTCAATTGTTTGATCTTTATATTTGTAATCTGTATAGACGTTGCTTCAAATGTAAGTTTATCTTATATTGTATTAAACGTTATTACATGAGAAAGATAAAAAATATATTTCCTTAATTTAGACACATGAAAGATGTTAGATATTGTTTAGATATTATTTAATATTGTTAAGATATTGTTAGATATTAACCATAATATCAAACAATATCTTCTGTTTATTCTGTTACTTTCAGTTACTCTTTTAGTTGTATCTCTCTACTATAAATAGACTACCCTATGTATGATTTATACACAAGGGAGATTAATTCCAAACTCTATTTCTTCTATATTCAACATGGTATCAGAGCCAAAGCCTAACATCTTTCCGGTTATTGTCATGGGCCAAAAGTTGCCCTTTAGTTGGGTCAAAAGTACCCTTTGCCTGGTCCGGCAGGTTTCGTTGGAGGAGGTGTGTTGAAAGTCCCACATCGTCTACCTCATGTCATTTGGTATGGTTTAAATACATGTTAGGCTAATCCACATATTGCCAATTGGTTTTATGTTGGAACCTTAACATGGTATCTAGAGCTTAAAAGTTTGTTTTAACGAAGGATCAAAAGTACCCTTGAGAACCACGCATAATTGAGC